AACTCCCACATGATCAGAAGCATCTTGTCACCCTACAATGTCAGCTACATGTGTGAAAGGTAGTACGATGCCCACATATGCTGTCTTCATTTTTGCATGAAAGAGCCCCTGCTCATGCGTGAGTTCTGTATACTTAAGGATGGAGGCTTTCATTGGCAGCTAATAGAACAGAATCTGAAAATGCTTTCAGTGTTGAAGCAGGCCTTTGTATGTATAAAGCTAAAGTTACATGCCTTGTATTGTATAAAGCTAAAGTTTTCTTAATAAGTTCTGACTACAGTAACATTTTTCAGAAAACATTTTTTAAATTATTAGGTCCTAGGCTGATTTGGGATGAAAGACACACAGGTGGAATAAATAGTAAAACTCAGGTAAGATTATTTTAATTCATTCCATATTCTGAAATTGTCTAAAATACAATTATTTCCTGAAATTCAGCTAAGAAGTAAATCACAGCATATTAGGATAAGTTTTAGTTATGTATAAATTTAGTTATGTATAAATTACATTTCCAAATCTTGGCATCTAAATAATTACATTTTGTGATACAAGGCATCAGCATTTGTTGATGACAGACCACTTCATCAGATACATGGAGAATTAAGAAAAAATTCTGGTTTTTACACAGTACATAAGTGGAGTAGGGGGGGAAAGAACTGTAGAAAGTTTGGTCAGAAAAAATTCCTTTGATTTCCAGCATTCCTCAACCAGTCATGCTTTTAGAGCAGTCTCTCTTGTGTTTCATAACTTTCTAAAGATCAGCTGTTAAAAGCATTTTGATGGAACATCTGTTCATCAGATCATTATCACAAAGGCATTATGGAAGCTTTGTAAGCAGCTACTCATACCAGTAGATCTTATTTTCTCTAAAGACTCAACAAAGTCAGAGACTGAATGTTTTTCAAAAGCTGTTTTGAAACCTTTCTATTTGCAGTGGTTGTCATAAATGACACTAAGCAAGTATCTTGATACCTTGAATTCAGTGTAGTTGTATTTTTACTTTAACATCATTTATTCATTTTCTTAGAGCACAATCCAATGCAAGTTTAGGCAGAAAAATGTCATAGAACTCGCAGCATTCTCCAGTGAACATGGCTGGCCAGTAGGATGCTGGTAGTTGTAGGCCTTTTTTCTTTCTGAATTTGTATAAGATCATGCTTTTAGTAATTCAGTTTTTAAAAATGTAAGCACGTGTGGATGCAGTATAAAGCACATTGTGGAGTTAATGCTTAATTATGTCCAGGGCTTTTTTTGTCATAGAATGCACCGGAATGGCGTTCAAGCATCTTTTTTTCAATGGATTTTACGAAGTGATTTTGGCGTAGAAGATCAGCAAACATCATTAACATAGTGCCTGCAGGCTGCTATTGTGTCTGCATTTGCTATCTGATAGTGAGAGAGAGGTGCTCTGCTGCTCGGCTTGGGATTGGTGTGTGTGCTTACTGCCGGCAGCCATGTGAGTTCTGGCACCTTTTTTTTTTTTTTTTACAAAAAAAGCACTGATTATGTCCCATAGGTTTCAATTCAGTTTGTATTTATATATGGACTCAGATAGAACTATGTGACCATAAACAGGACCAATTCATAAACATAGCTGGTTGTCTGCATAGAAAGCAAATAGTTGCATTAGTATAAAAATGAAATATTAAATGGAGATCTTGATAACAGCAGTCCCCTCTTTGAAACAGTAATGAGAGACATAATATGGGACCAAAGTATGACATCAGTTTGAATGTAGTCTGAAATGAAGTGTAGGGAATTGAGGCTGTTGAAGGAAATAATCCTGTATTCAGTTTCTTCTGTCTGAGGAGCTATAAGGATTGGGTGGAAACCCCACATCATCCACAGGACCTAAGATACGCCACCAGTAGACAAGATGCTTTGGCACCACCAGCCCAATAAACCAGTACAAGAAATTGTCCATCTGTGAAGATACACTGGTGGAACAGCCAGAATTGGAGATGAGGGCATCGCTGGGAAAAGGCACATATATGCTATATCCTAAACCGCTATCGACCATGGTCAGGCCTCTGTCAACAGCACAACATCATGCCAGTCTGGTGCAAGAAAATTACTTCCCACTGATTTTCCCTAGCACGATTTCATACCAGGATTTGGACCTAGGATCTTCTGCATGTAAAATATGAGTTGTTCCACACGGCAAGGGCTTCTTCAGCAAACCTCCCAACATCTATGTTTTGATACTGGAGAAAGACACTTGCCTTGTGATGGGTGTTTCTTGTCCACTGCTATGGCTGTTTGGTTGGGAATGTTCTATGGAGCCTGCATCATTCATCAAAACCCCTGTGTCCCTAGCATTGGAGAAGGTCAGAGGGGGCATTTTTTTCCCTTCTTCTGTGCCTATATCCTTCCCTAAAACTTAAGAGGGTCATATCAGTTCTCCATATCTAATAAAATCTTATAAATTTCACCTATAACCCCTCTTGTTTGCATAATGTCTTGTTTTTTCTTCTATAGAACCCTCTTCAAATTTGGTAAGTTCTCTTCAATTACCCATTTTTCTTCATCCATTCTTTACTCCATTAGTCTAAATTGCTTGATGTTAAACCAAGTTAGTTTTTCTTTTCCTAGTACTGCCTTTATACTTTCCTTGTTATCCATTTTCACCAACCAGTCTTTTAACCTAAAAAATTGTTTTTCTTTTAATACTTTTCTCAATCTACTTTTCAAATTTTATGGAAATCCTTTAATTTCTGTAACTGAAATTATTTAGGTTCTTCTCTACTTATCCCAGATTTGGGCCATATTTTTAAGAAAGGGGTTTTCTACCTTTCTTACAATCTTCTTACCATCCTGTGTAAACAGAAGATTTAGAAGGGATCCCTCAATTGGTTGTTGTTCTATTTCTACCCACATTTTCAGGCTGCAATACAATATTTGGTATTTATCTTATTTGATTTGCTACATTATATAATTTAATATTTGGAATACTCTATATTCCAAACATTAAATTATATTTGGAATATAGAGTTCCAAATTATTAAATAAGAATTATTAAATTATTAAATAAGAAAAACTATATTCCAAATTATATTTGGAATATAGTTTTTCTTAGGGCCAGGCCTGGTTCGCCCTGGCCCTAAGAAAGATCTGGTTCCACCCTCGAAGGCCCGCTGTGACGACTTTGCCAAGCATTTCAGGGAGAAAATCGCTCAGATTCGTCACGAGCTAGACTCTACTTGTGACTCAGAGGTTTCTGGGGAGATACCAATGCTGCCGTCTGGTCCAAAATTAATGGATGAATTTCAGTTATTGTGGCCTGATGATGTGGACAAGGTGCTTGGACAAGTACGTCCCACCACTTGTCTATTGGACCCTTGCCCATCTTGGTTAATAAATAACGCCAAGCACGGGATTGGGATCTGGATCTTGGAAGTGGTTAACGCTTCTCTGAGGGATGGCCGGGTACCTGCCCCTTTAAAGGAGGCGGTAGTCCAACCAGTCCTGAAGAAAGCGTCACTGGATCCAGAGATGGCCACTAATTATAGACCAGTGGCCAACATCCTGTTTCTGGGCAAGGTGTTGGAGCAGGTGGTGGTGGGACAGCTCCAAGCACTCTTGGATGAAACTAATTATCTGGACCCATTTCAGTCCGGCATCAGACCCGGGTACGGTACTGAATCTGCCTTGGTTGCCCTGTACAATGACCTGTGCAGGGAGAAGGACAGGGGGAGTGCGTCCCTGTTGGTTCTTCTGGACCTCTCAGCGGCTTTCAATACGATCGACCATGGTATCCTTCTGGATAGGCTAGCGGGCTTGGGGGTCGGAGGCACTGCTTTGCAGTGGTTCCGCTCCTATCTCAATGACCATTTCCAGAAGGTGGTGCTGGGGGACTATGGCTCTGCACCATGGCAGCTATGCCATGGAGTACCGCAGGGGTCCATTTTGTCCCCTTTGCTGTTTAACATCTACATGAAACCGCTGGGAGAGGTCATCAGGAGGTGTGGGCTGCGGAATCATCAGTATGCTGATGATACCCAGCTCTACCTCTCTTTTTCCACCAATCCAGGTGAGGCAGTGGCTGTACTGAACCGGTGCCTGGCTGAGGTAATGTGCTGGATGAGGGCCAATAAACTGAAGCTCAGTCCAGACAAGACAGAGGTCCTGTTGGTTCGCGGATCGGGCTTCGGTGAGGGTGAATTGAACCTAGTCCTGAATGGGGTTGCACTCCCTCTTAGGGACAAGGTCCGCAGCTTGGGAGTGCTCCTCGACCCAGAGCTTTCACTGGAAGCTCAGGTGACAGCGGTGGCGAGGAGCGCTTTCTTTCAGCTTTGGCTGATCCATCAGCTGAGCCCCTACCTGGAGTACGACTGCCTGGCGACAGTGACACACGCGTTGGTGACTTCCCATCTTGACTTCTGTAACGCGCTCTACGTGGGGCTACCCTTGAAGACAGTATGGATACTTCAATTGGTTCAAAATAGAGCTGCCAGGCTGCTGAAGGGGACTGGGCGTTATGTTCACATGACTCCAGTCCTCCATTAGGTTAATTGGCTTCCCATTGAAGTCCAGGCCCAATTCAAGGTGTTGGTGATGACCTATAAAGCCCTAAACGGCTTGGGTCCTGGTTACCTGAAGGAGCGCTTACATCCATATATGCCCGCCCGCCCCCTGAGATCAGCGGGAGAGGCCCTTCTCCGGGAACCCTCCGTGAAGGAAATTAGGAGGGTAAGTACTCGAAGGAGGGCTTTCTCTGCAGTGGCGCCCAATCTATGGAATGCGCTCCCCAGAGAGGTCCGCCTGGCGCTGTCATTTGTTTTTCGGCACCAGGCAAAGACCTTTTTATTCAAGCGTCATTTTAACTGTTAATAGTATTTATTTATTTATTTTATTATTTGGCCAGGGCAACTTATTTTATATTGTTAACTTGTTTTATATTGTTAATTTATAGTATTTTAATTGATTTATTTGTGAGCCGCCCCGAGGCTTCGGCGAATGGGGTGGAATAGAAATTTTTGAAATAAATAAAATAAATATATTTGGAATACTTTATAAAACTCTGTTCCTAATCCATCCATTTTGAGAGTTTTTCCTATTTTTAAATTATTAATAATATCTTCAATCTCCTGTAGCAGGCTGTTCCATTAGGTCCCTATCTATCTGCTGCAATTTATTCCCAACATTTTCTTCAATATATGTTCTGATTTTATCCATCAATAATTTCCTAGCTGCATGTAACTTTGAATAAAATCTTGTGAAATATCCCTATGTTTTCTTTTGTTAGATTGCATTTTCATCTCTAACTATTCCTATTAGATTTTTTATTCTTTTTTGTTGCATGTCTCTGGCCAGCAAGCTTTAGTTCTTATTACTAAATTCAAAAAAATTCTCTTTTCAAATATATTAAATTTCTCTGTATTCTTTCTACTTTGTTATTTTTAACTCTTGCCTTTTAGCTTGTATTTCCACCAAAATGAGGATATCTCTATCATTTATATATTTCCTCTTCAAAACTTTTTATTTTGCCTTCCAGATTGTTTGCATGTTTAACTCTTTGTCTTCTAAGACTGCCAGCTTCCCTAATACTTACTCCCCTTGCAACAACCTTCATTGTGTCCCATACTACATGTTACTTGAAATGAGGCAACCAAATTAAAAAGAAAAGCAAAGTTCTATCATCCATGTTGAAATGCATTTGGTGTAGTCACTGATGGGTAGGAACATTTCCAAATGCCATTAATTTCATTTTGCCTTTTACCAATGCACTTACTTCAGTGATGGCACACTGATAGGCCTCAGAGGCTTCCTTAAATTCAGCTAGATGCTCCTCATAGCTTTGAATAGATGCTGTAAGGCGATCCTTTTCCACTGCTCCCAGGATGGCATGAAGGATTACATCAATACCCAACCCAAGAATGCTAATGGCAATGCCTCCAAGAACAGATACTCCAATTTGAGCAAGCAGAGCAGCTAACTTGTTCATTGTAACTGTTAGCACATTTGAACATATTAATTTTACAGCTACTGAACCTGCAGAAGCAGTAGCCTCTCCAAGTATAATAGAAACAATTCTGTGAGCTATTGCAATTTTCTCCAACTCAGGCTGTTTGATATCATAAAGCTTTTGGTACATTACTGGCTCTAACCTTTCCTTTATTTGTTTATCTAACTGCCATACTTCTTGCTGAATATCATTTATAGCTTGAATGATAATGTCACAGTTCTCTTTGATGGTGCCACCCTCTTTCATATTAATGTAAGTAATCTTGGCTCCCAGATGCTCATTCAGTGTTCCAATCAGTTCATTGGTAGCTTTAAAATTAAGCTGAATGCAATCAAGCAGTTCCTGATGCAGATCAGTCACATTCTGGCGTCTCTGTGGATTTCTTGGGTAGAGGAGGTTACTAAGACTCATTCTGCAAAATGAGAATGGTTGGGTTGGGTAGTGATTTACAGCTTTAGTCACTTCATATGGGCTGCAACAAGTAAAGATAAGTCAAAAGACATAGCCACATTGCAAACATGAACAGGTTAGACGGTAAATTCTTGTTTCCTGGGAAGTCATAAGAACAATAGTTCCACGATGGGGCCATGACAGAGTTCTTAGTTTTCTGCCTTCTACAAAAGAATTTTGAAAATTCCTTGAAGGAAGCCATAAAACCAGTTTATTTCTGTAGTATGCATAGTGCCAAAACAAATGAATTTATTCACATTTGATTATACTTCAGTTCAACAGGTTCCATGGTGGCTTCTATAAGAAAGCCTTCAGAGTCTGGGGTTTTGTTTGTTTTTTAAAAAGAAATGGCTTCCTACATTTGAATTTGCTTTTTATACAGCATTTCATTGATTGACTGGCCAGTTGATTCATCCCTATATTTTACCACATTCACAAAGCTAAACCCACGTTAGCCAACACTTCTGTAATTTACAATAAGGACAGAGAAAACTGATATTTTTCTGATGGATTCACAATCAGATCCAACCCAGTTATAGAGACAAACAAAGCAATCATCTGGGGAGGCCAACCCTGTAGGGGAGCTTGGTTCTGTAGTACTGATGTCTTGAAGGCAAAACTGTCATTTGCACATTGAGAGGAAGCACAAAGCAATGCAGCTGCATGCTACGTTTCATGCATAGTGTGATTGCCACTTTTTTAGTCCCATCAAATTTGAGGCCACTGCACTTGAGTAAGGGAGATTTAAAACTTCCCTTCAAGTCAGCTGTGCTCCCCTGGGCATGGGGGCTAATAAAATAAGGAAGGGGAAATCTTCCATTGGCACTAATGGAGTTTTGGTCCAAGAGCAGCAGGTATGGGGGTTAAAGTGGCTGAGTGGGAAGGTTTAAACTTTCCCTGCCTGTGCACAGGGAAAGTTTTAGAGTGTGGTAGCTTTCTTCTTCCTGGGTCTGTTAGATCAAGGCAGCCGGGCAGTTTATTTACCAGGCAGGTGAGAAAGTGCCTTGTCTTTCAAAGTGGGGGCTCGGGAGATGTAGAGCAAGGCAGGAGCCTTTCTTTGTCTACAGCTTCCATGTGGGTTGTGAAAAGACTTAGGCTGATGGGGAGGGGGCAACAGAAGTGCAACATAGCCATTGGGATAATAAAAGCTACTTACTTGTTACTTTGATCCAGAGCTTCCTGTCTTCTTCAGTAGACCCTGCAGTCTGATCATATCACTCCAGAACACACATATATGCACAGAGAGGTGATTTGGCCTCAAAGATCAGTTGGAGAGAGGGGTGCTACCAATTTTCTCCTGAAACAGAAAGATCAAATCTATTGTTTGGCATGTTTTGTGAGCAGGAAATCTTTGGGGAGATGAAGGTACTAATAAGCAAGTTACCATTTTGCATGGCATGTGCTCTGCCTGCCTAGCATGCCCAGGTTTTTGATGCTACCTACGAGTAGTAGAATGCAACCTAGACTGAAATGACTGGTGGCAGCAGAAGGGGAACGAAGAAGCTGATCCTAGCAGCTGCATCAAGTCTTGTCTCAGTATGACTGGGCAATATGGGAGGGGTAAGGCAGGCAGCCCCTCACAGCCATTTCCTAATGCACCAAAAGCATCTGGAGTTCTAAGCAGCTTGAAGAGGAATAAGAGTTAGTATAGTTGTTCTCAACTGGAAGTTGAGACAGTTGCAGGGATAGCTGAACAGAGAAACCAGTAGATACTCTTCCTAACAGCAGTGAGGGTTATCATTTTGTGAGAGCCTTGTAGTCTTGGCTGTACATTTCCCAGTGATTCACTCAATACTCCTCCCTCACTGGTCAGTAATATCCAAACTGAATCCTCAGATCCCTGTTCTCATCATCCTTAGCCTAACTGCACCCACATAATACAGATAATGAATAAAAATTACCTTACATTTCAGTGTGGTCCAATTGTTTGAAGGCTTGTGAAGACACACATCCAATTATGAAATGTGTCTGTTGACTGTAGATATTGCTGGCATGATGTTGATTCACACTTATGTGCTGATACAGCATTCTGGGCTGTCCCTGGCAAAGCTCACTCAACACTGCCAGTCACAAAGCTATAGTCATTATGCCTATACTAAAGTCTTAGTGTATAGAAGCGCACAGAATCATGCCTCAAGTCCACACAGCATTTTTTCAGTGTTTATGTTTGAATGTAAACATTCTAGAAAGAAATTATATTACTAACACTAGTGTTCACAGAAGTCCATGGAAATTCTCTTCACATTGTGTTATCTGATGCAACAGAAATGTGAATTCAGCATGGTTGAGTTAATTCAGTGTGGCCTAATCATTAATTAAGTGATGAAGCTGATTTAAGTATACTCTGTGGCTGCTGGTTTTAATGACAAGCCAGCCTAATTCATTGAAAACCAAGGGGAGGTTAGCTGCTCCAACTAGGAAAGAAGACAGACAGTGGTAGAAGGATGCAGTAACGGAAGGTTAGAAACATTTCGTGAATAACTGTAGTCCTGTGCCTTCACCTCCACTTCATCACCCCAACCCACCATTCCCTTTACTGCTGTAAGGCAGTGAATTTGCTGCTGTGCATCTAATGTACAACTGAAGACCTCTAGGCAGAACTGTATCAGTCTTATTGTGGGTCATTGACACTAAGTAAATGTTAAATTGCGATAGTCCTAAGAGAATCAGAGGTAAGCAAGACAAGCAGAATAATATGCTAAAGTGCACGGAGAAGCAGCCAGACAACATGTTTAGAACTGGAAATTGAATGGAAGTTGTTATGGGGCTATCTGGCCATGGGAAGGCCTATTGTCACTTCGCTTGGCAAGGAATGGCTGGCTGGAGCCCCTCAAGAATCCTTAATATAAAATCATATTTAACAAATTATATCTGAAAGAAATCTTTATTTCACAGTCATAGAATAAATTGTGAATACAGAGCAATATCATTGCTTAAATTCAGCTATATTGATGTTCAGAGAATTTACAGTCCCTCATACTAGGCCTCAGTCAGACTTAATTGCAATTATGTCATACAAACATGCCTCACTTGTATTATATTTCAAGTTTCTGGTATCTTTTACATACTACACATTTTTTGCAGAGTTGTGCATGGATCTCTTCTTTAAAACTCACAAAATGTCAGGCAACAAAGGTATTCCAATTCAATGTATTCCATTAGCCTCGAATGTAGGAAATACTATTATAAATGATTGGTGTATGTTTCATTCATCATAGAACAGGTTTTTCTCACTGTGACTATTCCAGTGCAGTTGATGGAATTTCAGAAGATATGTGTCTGAGACAGCTGCTTCATTGATTTTCTTTTGTTGAGCATTCTTTGGTTTCTGTTTCAGTGTGACACATCCTCTTTTGGAAATGCTGTCTGTCTGTGGCTCAGAAAAGGATAAGGAGAGACTCCTCAACGCCAGCCGCCATCTGTATGATTGTGTTTACATGTTTGTCTCTTCTACCAATACCATCTTCCGAATGCTCAACCAGTTTCTTAGAACTCAATTGGCTATAATTACAGTGAGGGAAAACCTTAGCATCAAAGAGAACCTTCAGCTCTTGGTGAGTGCTCTAAAAGAGATGCAGGAAATGGTGGATCTGAAGGATAAAGAATTCCAACAGAAAATCAGTCTTCCGCTGTATTCCAAGATTATCTTACCTATCCACTCCACAGATGAAAAAATTAAGCTTGTAAAAGAAATCAATGGTCAATATAAGGGAGTTTTAGGAGATCTCTGTGGTCCTATATCTGCTGTCTTAATTAAACATGGTCAGCTTCCTGAGAAACTAGAGAATGTCCTTCGGGATTTAACTAGCAGTCCTGTATTGTCTCTTCGAGTGGGAGACCTTCTCATGACGCATGAAGAAATTGCTAGAGCACTTCCAGACACCAGACCCACTTCATCCGATTCAGTGAATCCAGTTCAAGTTAGAGGTCGCAGTCAGTCAGTAGCTACCACTACTTTTTCACTTACTAACTTCATGCGGGTAGTCCTTCGAGGACAACCATGTAGGAACACCATTGATTTAGCTGCGGCTTGCCTGGAAGATGCAATTAAGACACTGAAGCCAGCTTGTGAAAGTTTTCAGAGCACTCTTAAGATGGCTGAATCATATGTGACATTGATCCTTAATAAGATCCAGTGAGCCCGAAGTAATTGCTCGGCTGTTAGAAATCCACTTCTGTTTATACAGCAGGGAAGTTGTGATAATAAAGAGAGAACTTCTTTATGTCTTGCTTTTTGTCTTGCTTTTTTTGTAAAACTGTCCTGATATGCTTGTAGTGGACGGTAAATCAAAGCTTTTAATTAATAAATAAACAAACAAATATTGCAGCATCTGCATTTCCTTCTGTGCAGCTATTTTAAAGACTAGAACCCTAAGTCAGGCACACTTGATTTTGCTAAGATGCAGATCAATCTCTATAGAAAACTTCTGCCCACCCCAAACCTGTGCAAAAGTGTTGATAAGTATATATTTTATATTTTTACATAGGCTTTTCAAATATCCCTGTCAGCCAGAGAACAGTGTAAGAATGCACACGCAGTGTGGTGTTTTGCCCATCAAACAGTCACTCAAATTTGAGGCAGTATGATTCAGTAAACCAATTGCTGGGGAACACAAGTGGGATGGGCCTATTGCTGTTGCACCCTGTATGGAGAGTTTGTCCAGGCAGCTGATTAGCTATTATGTGAACAGAACTGCTGGTCTAAGTAGCACTTGGTCCACTGTAGCATGGCTGTTCTTGTGAAAGCCTGCAAGTGGCAGATTGATCTTGAGTCAGATCCTTTGTTAGGGTCTGATTGCCTCCCTGCCTGCCTCTTCCTTGTTTCTTTCTTCATGTCCATCAAGTTCATCCCCCTCTTCCTTGCCCCATTAGCCCCATTCTCTTGCCATTTTCTTCATTCTCCTCTGTCGTCTGTATCCTACAGATCAGTACAGTATCAGTGGTGAAGTGTAACTTGCACACACAGATTGATACAATTTATTTATTTATTTATTTATTTATTTATTTATTTATTTATTTATTAAAACATTACTCATTAAGATTACTCAGATTATTAGCTGAATGGGATAACCCTGAGCTTGTAGTGCATAATTTATGTGTCATTTTAATGCGACCCTATAGCCTAGGTTAGGTTTTAGCTTTCCACAGGTAAAGACTATGACTTCAGCATAACTTCCCTGAAATCACCATGTAGAACAAAATCTACATGGCATTTTACCTGGACAAAAACATTCAAAACATGAGTATGCTTTCATCTAATATAACTTTATACAGGAAAATGGCAGGCATTGTCACCTCTGCAACACTTTTCAGAGGTTCAGTAGAGTATTTATCAAAAAACACAGGCAATGCTGTCATGGCTGCCCTGTCCATTTATCCATGTGCATTCACCATGCATAATGCAGGGCGGGATGAGCTTTCCTTGAAATCCCAACTTAATTTTTCAAAACAATAGTTTGTCATTCATATGCTGAAAATCCAGAAGAAAAATATAAGTTGAAAGTAAAATGTTCAGTGGCTAGAGCAGGATGGGGGCACTGCTCAGAGTGCTCAATCCCATTTTTAATCCTTAATAGGGACTAGAACCCTTCTCAATAAGCTCATCTAGGTGCAACACCCCATGTCCCAAATGGAGGGCCAAAATAGGGCCATGGATGCAGAGGGCCAAAACAGGCTGCAGGTCAGAGTAGGACGGTGTGTGTGTGTGGGGGGGGGGGTGCCAGTAGCAATGCAGGTTTCAATAGTTTTCCTCCACCAAGCAAAGGATTCCTTACTTACTTTCCTTGATAATTAGACATTCTTCCCAGCTCTCTGAAAGGCCTCCTATTTCAAGTGGGCAGAACAGACCAGAAAATAGGGATGGGCAAATTTGTGCAACTCAGGCGTGAATACAAATACACTTCTTTGGAAGTGGAAATGTGATTTAAAAATGAGTTATCTTGGGAGAAACTGCTTGCAAAAATGTGTGTTAGGAGAAAAGCCCATTAAAATGTGTGAACTGGAAGAAATGCAGATGAAAATGTGTGCAAACATATCAAATCTCTCTCCCTCTCTCTCTTTTAATGAAATGGGCCAACTTTAGACTGAAAAAAAATGAGAAACAGAGGAACCAGGATGTGCATCTCTGCTTAAAGCTGGAAACATGAAAATAGAGGGTGCTGCAGCTGGCAGTAACAGTGCTATTTAAAATAGTTTTTACACATGCATGGAACCCCAAGGGAAATATCTGGTTGATTTTTTTCCTCACTTGAGAATTTCATACCTACCCCCCCCCACACACACACACCCCTAACAAGAGATGTTCTTTCCTGCAGCTATTAAAAATGAGATGCTACTGCTTGGGAGACAGCCAGGGAACTGGAACACTCATCCTTTCTTTGTCGTTCACTCTTTCCCCTTTATCTGTGTAGTATGTACCCAATTTTTCCAGTTGCAACTGATGAAAAGAACTTTGCAAGTCATAAGTCGTATTGGGGGGGGTGTCTTTTCAGGTGGGGAGGCAAAATATATCAATGCTTAGTGTGAATTTCCCCATTACCTCTTTGCTACTGAGTTTGGGGAGCAGGAAGGATGACCTACTTTTCAAAAGTACTGAAGAATCATAACTTTCCAGAAATATTGTACCAGATTTTCTGTGTCTGTAAAATAGTTACCTGTATGGGGCAGTGAGGAACTGATAAGGGAGGAGTTTTCATTACTTTTACACATGTGCACACACAGCTGCTCCTCCTTTTCTGCTGATTTTTCAAGTGGGAACACAAAGGTATCCCCTCTTTTTACATTAAAAATGCAAAGGTACATTTTCAGTGTGCTTGCAGCCCACTGGTCTGCTGCTTCAATGCCCTTTTGCTTAATCCACATTCTTCCTGGAGATTCTGACACAGCTAAATAATTTGATTAGATGACAGCAACCCTGAGGGCAAACAAAGCTTATGAGCAATATATTCTTTTGAATAGTTTTTGTCTGTCTTCAGTAACATCATCACTTGGTAAAACTCATTGGCCACAATGTGACAAATTGATCTGTTCTACAGAGAAAGAAAGGGATAGTTTTTTAATGGCATAGAAGCAGCTCTCCCATTGGTGCTACAAACAGCACCAAACTACAACAAAAAGATTGTGGTTGGAATGCTTTTTTAAAAAATTTACCTCAAAATTCCCTTTTTCATGCCAAACTTTGGACAGTGACAGAACTTGGCATAGTGCATCTGCCAGGTGCAGCTTTTGTTCCAGGCTACGTACCAGAAAACCCACCTCTGGGAGTAATCATGAGCATCCATAAACCTTGCTAGACTTTTGCTCTAACCATTAGTCCCGCCTGCCCCTATTCCCATAGAATGCTAATTGCCCTCCGACAAATGTTGGAAGATAGGGAACTGGTAAGTGGCAGAAAAGCACCTGGAAAATTGAGTTCCTAATTGCTGCTTATTCCTTGTTTCAGCAGTGGACAAAATGCATACATATTGCTGTTAAGCTTCTTTCTAGTTAAATGGAATCTACCTGTTGTTCCTTTTTCCCCTCTCTGTTTCCCATGCCCCGCCCTGCCCCACCCCACCCCACCCCACCCCACTCTCCCCTGTTCTCCTTGCCCTCTTCCGGATTAGAACAAGAAATGTCCACTTCAGACGTTTCCAAAGAATCGGCGATATGCTGCATGAAAGCCCACTAATTCAGAGTAGTAATCACAGGGTATGTAGCTTTCACACTGCTCTTTCTTTAGTTCCATTGGGGATTTGTACATTTCGTAGTACCTGATGAACAAAGGAAAAAGCAGTCTCACTGGTACATCATTTTAGACTCTGGAGTTATACACAGATCCACAGATATACACAGATTCAGAGATGTGTGTAAGTTCCCTTACATATTTCAAAAGGTGATAGCCAGCCCTGTTTTATGGGCCTTCCTGTTCATTCTGCTGATTGGGCCCTAGACCTCTACCTGTCCTGCCCATATGGCATCACTTGAAACCAGTCATACTTGGGAGCATGCCAGCTCATTCCCATATCAACCAGCACAGCATCATGGCCCCAGCCTTCTGAGCCATCTAAGAACAAATTCTTTAAAATTCTCTTTAAAGAGGGGTGGCAAACCAATGACAACCACCTGAATGTGTCACTTGGGCAGCACAGGTGTGCTAAGAATGGCAAGGAGGGGGGATTTGCCACATTTTCTTTGTTCCTTGCTCACCCTTTCTCTTTTCCCATGATGGGATGTGTCACCTGGTTCCAATAACATGGCAATCCACTATTAATAAAACAGCCCCCAGAATATCCCAGGGGTTCTCAGAGTGGAGGGGAGAAAAAGCCATCCTGCAAGGAGGTGGTCTAAGTTCAGGCAACATGGCAACCTGCCATAGCTGCTTACCCACAATGGGTTATTTCTTTGTACAAACCAGAACACACTGGACAGAGCCTGCTCAAATGTTATATCAGCTGCGTAGGACATCAACAGAGATCAGACCTATTGAGAATCTGCACAGAAGGGCTGCCATGTTTAAATGAGCCCACAGTGAGAAACATGTGTCTTTGAAAGAGAAAAGGTCCACTTGTTTCCAACAAGAAGCTCCTTCCATCACTTCGTGGGTTGTTGTTTTGTTTTTTATATTTCCTATCGGAGAAGCTGTGGCATAATACATGCTGGCATCTTGATGTTTTTCACAACCTGTGCATCTCCAGTTTCCACAACAGACATTATGGATATCATTATCGTACCTTTCATAATATGGATAAGACCTCTTCTGCCTCCTCACAAAGGCACTGGCCATTTTCTGATCTATCTTAATCCCTGTTGTGGACACAAAATGTAAAGAGTATGAGAATATAGAAATCCCTCTGCATCAAGTGCTAAATGGTTTCTGAAACTGATGCAGTAATAGGGTTGACCAGATGTTGAATGATGATGCACTCCAGATAAACCTTGGAGCCTATTTAAGGTATGTCCTTTCCCAGCCAAGTATCCATCCAGGTTTATGAATGTGAGATTCTTTGATCAGTTCTGGACATGGCTGGTGTTATCTATGAAGGCTCATATACCACAGCTCCCAAACACTTGTGATCTTGCTACTTTAGGCTAGGAAGTTAGTCTTTGTCATTCGGAGCATCACAGAATGCCTCATGGCCATTGGTAGAAATATTTCTTTCAGAACCAGTTGGAGATTTTTCTCCTACATTGATTAGTTACTGGACCAGGAATGATTTTGCCCTGTTGTTAAAGAGATGCCCCTAGCACAGTGTGCTTTACAGCATTTAATTTGTTTAGTTTCACAGCACTAGAAGTTTTACTCCTAGAAGTGCAACTTGATTTTCTAGATAATAAATGAAGACAGAATAACTTTCTCTCAGGTTTCACTTGTGACTACATAGGGTGGAATCCAATAAAGTTCTTCCACTAATAATCTTGTTTCCTTCAGTGGAACCAAGACAGAGCAATTCCCACTCACTCCGGCAGTACCTGCTCTCTAAAGATGTCTGGAGGAATGGAGGACTTTCCAAAGCAGACTTTTGCTGCAGCAAAAGGAAGAGAGAAAATTGTGTTGCTTGTAATAGACCCAATCTATTTCAGAAATTAAATCACTGCCACAGGAATTGGTGATGGCCACCAATCTGGATGGCTTTAAAAAGGGATCCACAGATTCAGGGAGGAGGAGGAGGAGCTGATCACTGGCTACTAGCCTTGCTGTCTATGTGCTGCCTGCTTCACCAGAGATGGCATGCCTGCATACACAAGTTGCTAAGGAACTCAAGCAGATAACAGTCTTGCACCCATAGTCTGTAATCCTATGCAGGTTTAGATGGACTCTCAGTACATCCCAGCTCTCATGGCTGGCAGGTGCTTGCTAGGAGAGGTAGGGCTTTTATAGGATTGTGCCCTAAAACAAGAAAACAAAAAGTTAAGAAGAAAGAAATAGGAGGAGCCTCTGATTGGTGAATATCTAAAAGACCTTCTTTAAAAGTGCTTTAAAATGTGAGATTGTGAATAAATTCCTCACGTACATGCACACACACACACACGCACACACCATGCAACCATGAGGATATGGCTCAGAAAGTGCTCTCTGACAGCCCTAGCAATTCCATAATATATCATTTGTCAAACATTATGTACCACTGCATATATTGTATCATCAATGCTATCAGACAACAAACAGAGGAGCAGAAGGCATGGAGAACCACCGTGGGGGGTGGGGGGCAGTGGAATGGAATGAAGTATCCTGTAAGAGAACGCGACTGTCTGGCTAAACCCTTTACAAGAGCACTCACATTGCAGTGCAGCATTTATTGTACTGAAGTTAAATGCTGTTGCATCCCAACAAACAAATACTGACAAATGTGATGCAACAGCAATTTGCAAATTATCTGGGAGGAAGCTTGAGTTTCTCAACTCCCATAAGGGATGCCTCAATGAACAGGGCAGCTGAACGTCTGATTGCTCCCCATTGCTGAGCTCCCTCTGCATAGCGCAGACACGAGGGAATGCTGATGTATCTTGGGAAGGGAGTGGGTTCCCTAGCATGTGCACCTGCTTCCTCTGCAGCAGGCAAATGAGTTTCTAGGAAGATGCCCGTGTGAATGATTTTCCCAAGGACAGAGAGTTAGAAAAGCTGTTTAATATTATTGCATATCAGCTTTACTGCCAAATGCTAAAGATGTGATTTTGGGCAATGGCTTGAATTCTTGTCCTTATGAGACTCCAAAGCAGAGTGGGAGGAAGGGCACAAGAAATCACTTTGCTCTCCTCCCACACTGCATTTTCCTCTAGAGAGGCTTTTTTGACTGTCTAGCTGGAAAGTTTCAGGGGAGAGGGGAAAGGAGAGTGGAAAAGCAACAGGACAACTCATATCCTGGCCTCTCTTGTCTCCTTCCCTCCTCGAAAAGCCCTCTTTCCTCACTTCTCTGAGGTTGCTTTCCTTCCCCACCTCTGCTCCCTGTATATAGGATGAGTTCCTGCCCATTCCTTCAGTGCTTCCTCGAGCCCCTTCTCTGGTGCCTGGAAAGTTCTATCTCTACCACTTTTCTTGCAAGCTCTGAGCATCTTCTCTTATTATTTCTCCTCAAAACTTTATTTACCCACTTCACTTTTTATTCTACATTACTAAACCACCGCCCATTAATCCATTTTCTCCAATATTCCCTCATCTTCCTTATGATCTTTCTCCTGTCTCTACTATTTTTTCTCCTGTTTCCAACATCTTTCCAATGGCATCCAAGGTGCCTTCCCATAAGTGCTCTCTGCCCTGGCTGTAAGGTGGAGAAGGGAAGCACCAACACCCAGCTGTAAGGTTGGAGTTCTGTCCTCCAGCCTTGGAGCTGGGAATCCAAACTGTCTGGTGGTCCCTTAGACTCTCTCTAGGGGCCATAGAATTGTTTCCTCTGTGATACTACATGTCAGCTGCTAAATATTGTAAATGATCAGAAATCAGATATTGAAACCAAGTATCACTGGACATTAAACATAGACATCCAGCAGTCAGAAAATATGTAAGCAGTAAGAAAGCTGATGGCAAATATTGAACATCAACATTTGCAATGGAGAATTTGGAGGAGTACGTTCATTTCCATTCTTGCTGAGTGGTAGAAGTGATGCCTAACATGCTCTCCTAACTGTCTTCCTTGAATCAACTTTGCCTTATCAAATGGTATCTAATGAAATGAACTCTAATCCACAATTTATGCCACAATAAATCTGTCTTTAAGGCACTGCAAGACTGTTGGTTTTGCAGCAACTGACTAAGATGACTACCCCACAGGGTTGGCGGAGTTCTTAGTTCTTTACCAGAGTAGCTGGTGAGGAAATCTCCAAGTATCTAACTAATGGCAGCTATTCACTGAGGAACTACTTAGCAAATTGAATTCATGAAAGGTCTCACACACCAAAACTTATGTGCGTGTGTTTTAATCACTCTAAGTAGTGCCAGAAATCGCAAACTGCTTTGTGAAGTTTCTCCATTTTATTCCGCTCTCTACTGAAAGACACTCAATAGTATTCTTTATAATTGGCCTGCATATGTGAGGCAAGTGAAATTCAAGAGATCCAGAAGAACTTTCCCCCACAGCCTCTCAGTGGTCCTGAAAACTTGAAAGAATGGAAAGGAAAAGACAGGACCCTTAACTATATTCCCCATCCCATATTCTGAACAAATCTAAACGTACAGAATCTGTGGTAATGTATAAACTTGAACTGTTGCCCTAAAGTTAGCTAGGGCTGTTCCCTTTTCCCCAAAAGGACTCATATGCCTCAAAAAGCTAAGTGACCAAAACCCAGACAGCCAACCCTCAAAGGGTGTCCAGTAGCTGGTAGAACTGGAGACTGGAGACTCTGAAGGACAATGGCATGCAGGGAGAATCCAAAAGTAGTTTGCAAGAGGACGTCCTGACAAGAGAGAAATGCCTGGGGAAGCTTCTGGGCACCACTTTTGCCAGTGACTCACCTTCTTTCAAGGCATTGTTCATATCTGAAAAACAGACAAGCCAGTATGAGACACCAGCCCTCCTACAAAGGACTTCTCCCCTTCTCTTCCCACCCAATCCTTTTCCCCCATGACTATTTCATTGGTAAATTTGAACTCTGGGTTAAATCAGCATAAATTACAATGACAAAAGCTTACCTTGTTTAAGTCAGCCCCCCTCAGCCTGGTACCCTCCCCTCCAGTCATGTTGGGCTACAACTCTGCTCATCGTCAGCAGCATGGCCAGTGCCTATGCTAAAGCCCACAGGCAGAACATGAGTACAATAACACCCTGCTGCTTGTGTTCCCAGTCATGTCAGCTAGGGATGATGGGAGTTGTACTCCAACACATCTGAAGAGCACTGGGCTGGTGAAAGCTACCTTCAACAATCTCCTGAGCATTCTCACCAAAATGTTTAATGGTGCAGTTAAATTCATAGCACAATGCCAGTGTTGATCCATGTATTGCAGCCACTTTTGCCAAAACCCTCAGAAATACGGCTCGCTTGTTTGAAATGGTTGATACATGATCTCCTTGCTTCTGTCCACTAAATGTTAAGGCTGGAGACAGCTACAGAAAAAGAATAGGAAGCTGGAAAATATTTGTTTTCCTTGTGGTGGCTTGAGATTCAGCCTTGTTTGTGAATCTGATTCAGTCCATGAAACGATTAATTTCTTCAATATTGAAACTGTTAATTTCTTCAACAAAAGGCTGAGACACTTAAAGGAATCTAGCTGTAGTATATTGAAGTATACTGAAGTTTTGATAATAGGTCAATAATGTGTCAGAGGTGTCAGATTTAATTTTTCTTATTTATGACTGGCCAAACTTAATTGACAGTGTTCTGTTTTATTCAATATTTGCATTCAGGCAAACTGTTCAGTTTACAGTGAAGAAAACATCCCATAGCTCAGGTGTGCTTCTGTATTATTCAGGAATAATCAAAGGGGAGGACATATCCTCTACCTGCTTTGTCAATGTGTAAGTGTATGCATCCCCATACACATGTAAACAGTTTCAGAAGTTACATATGCTTAACCTCAGTCAAAGCATATATACATGGCTACTAATCGTGGGCATATCTACACTGCCAGACTATAACCTAATAATGTTTTTCTCACCCAAGGGAAACATGAGAACAGCAGCTCAGAAATGCTGCAGATCACAGACAGGCAATATTCACCAAATTACACTTTCCAGGACTCTTTGAACGGAAATCATAACAGTTAAACTGGTTTACAACCAATAAACATGCACAGTTCAGATCTGTCCCTTGTCAATTGTCATTTGAAGTCCATTTCATATGTTATCCTGGTAGCATAATTGCCACCAAACCCCACCCATGTCGTTTTCACTGCAGTGGATCAACCACCATTTTAGAGCAGCAGCAAGATGACCCCCATGTCCTGTGGCAACAGAAACCTCCGTAGGTTTGAGAAAAGTGCTTTTGTGATTCTTTTCCTTAAATGAAAGACTTCCATATTTTGTCCATGAACACCCAGAGGTTTCATGGATCTGTGGCAAATGAAAAGCCAGGGCCCTGACACTCCCCCTCAAAGGGACCCAGATGTGTGTGGAACTGCTGTGAGCAATGTGGCAAGAACTGTGGCATGCGCAGGACCACGGCAGGCCTCCTCCAGCTATGTGGTGGGGAGCTGAGGCAAACTGCCACAGTCTTCCCTCCCCTGTGGGCAGTTCTGGTTTGGTCCTGTTCTCACCTGGACTTCAAGTGTCACCCCCTGCTCTGTCACTTGTGAACATTCCCAGACAATCATGAATAGATGGCCAACATTAATCTTGTGTTCCCTTACCTCCTTCACAACAGCAGGGGCCTGTCAGGACCAAGGCACACAGCAGCAGCAGCAGAAGTGTCCTCATCCTCTCCTGTTGGTGTAGACAATTCTTCCGGTGATTTCAGCTGCTCTGGATGGATCCTGCAACTTCTCAAGAATGATTGCTTTTCCGCAACAGCTTATATGCTTTGACTAACTGGAGCAGGGCCCCTGGCCAGGAAGGGCCTGACACAAAGCCATTTGTGTGACCTGATTCCAATTTCAAATTTTCCATTCGGGTCAAATGACATCTGGTTCTGGCAGCCATTTGCACATCTGCCTTAGGCCACAGCTCATGGCATTTTGAGGTTGTTCACACATGCCTTTCAAAGCAAAACAAAGAAAGGCAACCGGCGAATGACAAGCATCGGCGGAATGACAAGCATCCTGCTGACAAGCAAAAAGCAATTCCAGCTGACTGAAGGAAGGACATCAGATGGCTCAAACAATTTTGAGATTGGCAATCTGTAAAAAATCGTTTCAATCTGTTGTCACTGCTGGGACAAATAATCTGGTCAGCTGCAGTACTGCAGATGTAGCTGATGCTATTGGAAGGCCCAGCAATCATCAAACAAATCTTGGTACGATGATTTATACTTCCCAGGTGGTTGCTATCGTCTACTTTTATCCTGCCAGTGAAATCCCTCAGCAGCCAGGGCTGGCTGCTCTTGTTGTTCAAAACTGCAGTAGTGTGGCCCTGGCCGGGTCACATGAGAGAGAGAGTGTGGAAACAGCCCCCATAGTTCTGCAGCCTCAGCATGTGCCTCAGTCTCCAGCAATGCTTGCGCCCTTCCAATCCAAGGAGCCTGTGAGAAATGGCCATGAGGGAGCACGATGGCCATGGATTATATCCACCCTTTCTAACTTTAGTCCATTCATTTCAGTGGGTCTACTCCAAGGAGGACTAGCACTGTCTGCAACCCCATGTGTCCTCCCTTACGGTGTACAGTTCTGTCTGCTCAAAGGCATCCTCCGTTGAAGAACTGCCCAGTCCAGGTCTGCATATAAAGAACCATGAGAAGAGAGGCCTTGAAGTTGCCCATCAGCAGATGGCAACTGGACAGCAGACCAAAGAGGCACCAACTCTAGCGCTGTCGTGACACATACTGGATTTCTGTTTAAATTATGATTATTTCTGAATTTATACCTGGACATATAAGCTAGGATATCCACATCCTCACCTGTTCTCTTTTCTTGATTATGCTTTTCCTCTTTTTTAGTGACACACTCATGACACCTTCATCCTACAACCAACTGAACCATAATACAAGGGAACTGAGCTGAACAATCAAGCCCTGCAACACACATGTATTGGCTACAACCTCTTTATATGGGTGGTACATTATATTATTGGTAGTAGTAGTAGTAGTGCATTGGATTTATATCCTGCCTTTTTTCCTTTTGTGAGGATCCAGAGGTGGCCTACATGGTTCCATTTAATCCTCACAACAAACCTGTGAAGTAGGTTAGGCTGCGAGATGGTGACTGGCACAAAGTCACCCAGTGAGCTTAATAACCAAGTGGGGACCAGAAACCACATCTCCTGAATCCTGGTTCAATACTCCAGTCACCAAACCACAATGGCTAAATGAAAGTGACAAGGGTTATTTTCATCCCCCCTCCCCAAAAAAACACCAACTATATTCTGAAAAATTTACTCAGCTAGGCCAAATGTTTTTTTACTTGCACTTAATTCTGGCAGGTGGCCCAAGGGATTTTTTAAATAGCTATCCAGTTCCATCACAGACTATGTTGGAATGATGAACATTGTCAAACCTATATAAGAAGCTATTTCACTCAAATGGCTCATGCATATCAGGCCTTGCTGTCACCAGCTTGTCCACAGATGACTTTATTGCATTATGTGGAACATGTTGACAACATGTGGTTAAGAGCACAGGACTGGGACTCAGGTGATCTTGGTTCTAGTTCCCGCTCAGCCATGGAGCCAACTGGGTGACTTTGGGCCAGTCAAAGTCTCTCAGTCCAACCTACCTCACAGGGTTGTTGATGTGGGGATAAGATTGTGAGAGTAGGAGAAGAATTATGTAAGCGGCTTTGAGTTTTTTAACACAAAAAGGTGGGATACAAATCTAATAAATAAAATGCAACAGGCTTGGGTTTGAAAAAAGAGCAACCTCAGCTGCCTTGTGCCCATCCCTGAAATTGTGTATAAACACTTCATCAGACAAAAAGAAGGGCAAATATCAAAGTTGAAGGGTGTGTATGGAATGGCTCATAGTGGGCAATGGAAACATGAGATAGCTTTGAGATAGATCAAGTTTCAGAATGCAGTGAGGACTTAAGAGCAGAAATTGGCACATGTACAGGACAGCATACCATTTTCAAACAAAGAACAGTTTAAAATGTAACTTGGCTCCATTTTTCTTCTTTAGCATTCACATTACCACTTCTACTCTTTTAGCCTTAAAATGTTACAGTTATTGTAAAGCCTGGATTTAGAATCGCAGAGATTTGTGATGCCCAATTAACTTCACAGATTATATGCAGTACAGTGGACCTTCTGGAATACATTTGACTTTGTGAAAATCTTAAAATAAAAGACAGTCCAATTCTCATTGTGAAGTATTGCAACGTTACTAGGACAGAATATCTTTTACTATTGCAACAGAGGAGTACATACTACATTTGATGAAGTGGAATGTAGTCTGCGAAAACTTATGTCAGATTTTAAAAAATTATTCTTCATAGTGCCACAAAGTTCTTCATTGTTTATACTGCTGAGGAAATAGCTGTGTGTATAGCCCATGAATTCTTCTTAGAATCTTTCCCTAATTCTTATTTTAGAAATAATAGATGTTACCTGCATTTGTGGTCACTGAGATAAATGTCAAGGCCTTGTGTAATGAAGGCTTAGAGCTGATCCTTATGTTGACTTTTGACATTATTTATATTAGTAATCATTAGCAATAGCAATCCTGGCTTAAGTACAAGCATTTGCACAATCGGTTCAAAATACTTTTCTTTTACATGGCCAACTTTGTTTTAAAAACAAAGTTCATCTTCATTGTGCTTTCATATTTTGGACCCTGATCCCATCCATTTCTTGATTTGTGATGATTAGGGTAGTGCTGATACAAATTCTTATGTAGCAACAGATGAAAAGATAGTGAGATGTTGGATAGTATAATTAGATAACAGAACAGAGGCACTAATTGTATTTAGAGCCACGAAAAGCGAAACTCCAATGGGAAGAAGGATCTTTAGAACCTCTGTGCAGATGCTTGAGCTGCATAACATTCAGAGGGCTTTATCAGGTACTCCCTTCCAAGAAGTTCAGGTTGTTACCAAAGGCCTGGGAACTTAATTACTCTTCAGTTTCCCGAGCTGAAAGCTGCATTCCTTTTCTTTCCTGCAAAATCTCTCTGCTAACTCCTGCAGCAGCCTTTCTCAATCTGGTGCCCTCTAGCTGATTTGGACTACAACCCTCATAAGCCCCAGTCAGCATCAGGAACAATGGAAGCTGGAGGCTGCCAGGTTAGGAAGGCTTTCCTACAGCAGGCCCAATACTTCTCAGTACCTCCACTGCCTCCACATGTCTTCTGCAACATGCCTAAGATGAAGAGGCAGGCAACCCGATGCCCTCCAGAGGTCTTTGACTATAATCCCTAGTCATTTGCAGGACGAGTTCAAGACCTCTTGTGGCCTGAGGCAAAGGAGATGGTAGCTCCTTTCCCCTACTCCAAGCACAAAAACTGACCAGCCTGGCAGCTGAATGTTACTTAGGAACACAAGGGCAGAAGACAAGCCATGCTGGATCAGACCAAGGTACATCTAGTGTAGCACTCCATACACATGGCGGCTAACTAGGTGCCCAACCAGCAGCGAAACCTCTGCCTTCTCCATCACCTCAGCAACTGGTGCATGTGAGCATGCCCTCCCTGGTAAAGGAGGTAGCACATAGCCAGCCAGCTGAGTAGCCACTGGAAATCTGTCTGATCCTCTTTTAAAGCCATCCAGATTGGTGACCATCACCACTTCCCATGGCAGTCGATTCCATAGTTTAACTATACGTTGTGTGAAGAAGAGCTTCCTTTTTTCTGTCCTAAGCCTCCCACCTATCAGCTTCATGGGATGACCCCAGGTTCAATTGTTATGGGAGAGGGAGAAATGTCTCCCCCTCTACTTTCTCCACACCATGCATCATGTCTCCCCTTACTCACCATTTTTCTAAACTAAAAAGCCCCAGTAGTTGTAGCCATTCCTTGCATGCGAGTTGCCCCACCCTTTGATCATTTTCATTGCTCTTCTCTGTAGTTTTTCCAACTCAGTAATGTCCTTTTGGGACTGCAGGTGGCACAGTGGTTTAAACTGCTGTGCTGCTGGGCTGGTTGACCAAAAGGTCGCCGGTTCGAATCTGCACAACGGAGTGAGTTCCCATTGCTCCGTCCCAGCTCCTGCCAGCCTTGCAGTTCGAAAGCATGCACATGCAAGTAGATGAAAAGGTACCACTTTGGTGGGCAGGTAACAGCGTTCCGTGCACTTCGGTGTTTAGTCATGCCGGCCACATGACCATGGAGACTGTCTGCGGACAAACGCTGGCTTCCTCAGCTAGGAAATGGAGATGAGCACCGCCCCCTAGAGTCAGGCATGACTGGACTTAATGTCAAGGGGAAACCTTTACCTTTACCTTTAATGTCCTTTTTGAGGTAAGATGACCAGAACTGAATGCATCATTTTAAGTGTGGTCATACCAAAGATTTGACAAGAGGAGTAAAGTTTTAGCAATTCTATTTTCTCTTCCATTCCTAATGATGACTAGCATGGAGTCTGCCTTTTTCACAGCAGCTGTGCACTGGGCCAACTTTTTCAACAAGTTGTCTACTACTATTCCAAGATCCCTTTCTTGCTCAGACACTGCTCAGACCCCACCAGCCCATACTTGAAGTTGGGCATCAGCCTGCATCCTCCCCCACTGCGCCAGGATCTCACCACTGTTCCCCCACCCCCAGCAACAGCTGTCTGAGGCAGCTGACTCACTTTGCGTTATGAACAGCCCAGTCCTGGCTATCATTGCTCCGTAACAAGCTGATGATGGCTCCTCCTGTCTTTATTTTGGACCAGCTCTCAACTTCCCATCTTTAATGATA